AAAAAAAAAGAAATATTTTTTTTAATATTTTCCCACTTGGTGGGGGGTCAGAGGGGCAATCCTTCTCCTCCTGGTGGTAGTTTTAGAGCAATTGTAGGCCTGCCACTAGCTCCCCTCTTCTCTCCTTTGCAGTTTTTCAGACTGCCCTTGTTCCCCCAAGGGCTTGCTCTGGGAACATGAGCGAGTGCTGGCTGAGATTTGGTCATTTTTTCCTTTTTCTTTTTTTCACTTAAACAGATAATTTGAAGTTTTTGGTTTTCTGTTGTCTAGTTATGCTGAGAGTATGGTTTTAGGCAGTTTTATTTGTTCTTCTTGTTATTTTATATTGTTTTTAGAGGATATAGAGAGAGACAGATTTAGGCAGCCTCCATTGTCCTCAGCTACCTGGGGAAATCCTGTGTCTGGTATGTTTTTGAGCTTATATCTTTTCTTAAGTTTTACATTACTTAGAATAATTGGACAGTTTTCTAGTCTAAAATTTGAAGTATAAATGTACAGTATTTTAGTTAAAATGTTATTCTTCATCCAACATATTTTTAATGAATTGTAAAGGATTTTAAGTTGACATTTGAAATTGCTGTTTGTGAATGTGCACTAGAAATGAATACCTAAGAGTGTTTGTAGTAGCTTACATGCTGCTGAAGAATCAGCAGATTTTTGTGGCTTCGAAGTTTGATTCAAGGAGATTGAAATCTTTTTATACTAGGCATATCTTTTGAACAGCCAAAAATCTGAATTGGCAGTTCAGAATCAATAGTTAACAAGCCCTTCATCAGTGCCAAGCCTTAATAAATATATATCAAGTCCCTGGCAGAATATTTTTCAAAGTATTGCTATCTTCTATAGATTAATTGGATCCCATGGTAAAGAAAAAAGAAGAAAAGACATCAACGCATTGAATATCACTTATGTCAGATACTATGCCAAATGCTTTTGTATAGTTTAGCTGACCCTCTTCCTACCAATCCATGCATGGATTGCTTGTAAATCTTCTAATAAGTGAAAATAAAGCATTTGTACTTTCTATGACAAGGAACTTGCCACAACTGAGGCCACTCACTCCACAATTTGGGTGATTCCAATTGTTAACAGTGCTCTTTTTCATGTTGAACTCAAATCTTTCTCCCTATAGTTTCTGTCCATGGTCTTGTTTCTTTCTTCTGAGACTCACAGAACAAGCCTCTTTCACCTGTAGCCCTATAAATATCTGAAGCCAGCCTGCCTGACCTTGTGCTTAATTTTTCTTCTTCTCTTTAACTGTTTCTCATTAGACTTGTTTCATGACCCACCATTACCAGTCTAATTGCTGTACTGTGATTGCACATATAAGCTTTTCTGGTAGTTACATCACACTGTTAAATCATATTGAGCTTGTAGTTGAACAGAACCTCAGAACCTTTCTTATAGTTGCTGCTCTTTTTCCCAGGTTGTTTTGAGGGTCCAAGAATAGAACTGGGCATTTAATTAATTATGTTCTGATCCATCCCATTGATAAACTTTGTTGAAGTCTGTTTGGATCCAACATTATAGTAGTCCCTCCCGGCTTCAGGTTTGATAATTTTCTAATCCAATTTTTGGTAGAAATATTAACCAGAGCATGGCTGAGGTTAGAGGTTAGCACTGGAGTCTTTTCTCTAGGTTAATGCATTAATCAATGCCTGTCGTTTCCCAGTGTGTGTTCTGTGGGACAGTAAGCTCAAAAAATGCTCCATGATGTAGACCAGATAAGTTGGGAAATGGTTTCATACTTTAACACCTTTTTGGACAGTCATAATACATATGCAGTAGTAAAGGCTCTGAATGTCTTGTAAAGAAATCTGTTTAACTTTGTTTAATCCCGTATTATCTAAACTTGTTTGACAAAAGAAACCTCATTTTTTTGGTAACACCAAAAAAACCCCAAACAACAAAAGAAAAAAACAAAACCCACCCTACTGTATTTCCTTATCTTGTCCCAAAAGATGTCTTGAAAAATTTAGTTAATTGTATTGCTGATATCTAGATACTATGTTTCATTTGATCTGTGAGTCAATTCAATCAAGAAAAGATATTAATCTGATGTGGCTCGTTCTTACTGAACCCATATTGCTGCCTCCTGATCACCACTCTTATTGATATGAGATCACCAGTGTAGATTGTACCTTCTTCTCTTTTTATTAGAATTAAGATAAGATTTGCTCAATTATATGAATGTCGTTTCTGCTCTGATGGTCATCCTTCTCGACAGAGAAGATAGAGGTAAAACAGCAGTGGGGACTCTCCACTTTACTGTGCCATCCAATAACATAACATTATCAGCTCCAATCAGTAAACTTTTTCCCTCCTTGGCCTTTCTAGCGCCAAAGGATTCAAAACCTATTTTATTCTGTTTTGTCTTTTTAAAAATAGTAAAAAAGATTTTTGAAAATTTTACTTTGTTAAGGTGCTTGCTCTCCTTTCCCTGACACCATTCTTTAAACTTTCTGTTAAGGAATTTAAAAAGCATATTATTTCTTGTTAGGCTGTAACTCTTCTAAAGACCCTTCTGCCTTATCATAAGGAAAGAGAAGAAGATCAGGCCCTGGAGGGTGTGAGTTATAAAATTCACTTAGTCCAAGGGTATTGGGATGTTTGGCAGACTTCTTGAAGAATTGCTGGCAGTGCTTTCCTGCCTTACATCCACTGTAGTCCCAGGCTATATTTTCTGGTTTTTGAAATTGGACCCTAGTTATACTAGGTAGAATAGGCCAGTTTGAACTATTTTTATATCATATGCTTATTAGTTGATTCAGTTCATTAAATATACCCAAGTTTAGGGGGCCCGCCCGGTGGCATAGGGGTTAAGTTCACGTGCTCCGCTTCAGCGGCCTGGGGTTCTCAGGTTCAGATCCCTGGCGTGGACCAACGCACTGCTTGTCAAGCCATGCTGTGGCGGTGTCCCATATAAAGTAGAGGCAGATGGGCACGGATGTTAGCCCAGGGCCGATCTTCCTCAGCAAAAAGAGGAGGATTGGCAACGGATGTTAGCTCAGGGCTGATCTTCCTCTCTCTCACACACACACACACACACACACACACACACACACACACACAAATATATGTATACCCAAGTTTAATTATAAAGAAATGTTTATGTGAGGGATCAGTGAAGTCTTCAATACTGATATCTATGCAAGGGAAAAAGTGGAAATATTTAGGACACTGAGTACAGCATTTATTAATAAACAGCAGAAAAACATTAACCCGTTAAAAGATGTTTGCTTTCTCTACAGGAACAAAAGTTGAACACTTTGCAAAAATTGGATGGAAAAATCATAAGCATTCAGTTAATAACCCGTAAGTATTTCAGAGATATGAAATAGTGAAAATCTGGGTTATGCTGCTATGTAATATGCAACTTTATACTTGAAAAGCAAATGCAAGATCTCAAAGATATTAACTAGAATGTTCTATTATTTTTTTATAGAAGGCTTGTGCCCATGTAAACTTATTACTACTTTTCACTTTTAGTTTTTGGTCTGTTTACTTTTAGAATAGCATTTAAGCTAATGACTCTTTTAGGAAAGAACATGAATGGCTGGTGTTAAAAGATATAATTGGTCATACGTTGGGACTCTAGTGAATGAAATTTGTTGTAATAATTTTAGTTGGAGATAAGCAGTCACCATTGTAAGCCATTCCTTAAAACTTTTCTCAGTTTGTTTTGACCAATTTTTAAAATGCATATTAGTAGCCATTTTAATTACTTTATATAAAATTATTTGTGTTACTTTAGTAATGTGTTTTAATTATGTTAGTGTCATTAACTCTTATTCTGGTAGAATAATATGGTTATTTATATGTAAGTATAAAGTAAAATGACATCATGTGTATTACATGTTATTAATCTTTGAATCCCTAGTGCCTAGAATGCCTGGCTCGTAACATGTACTTAATGATTGCCGAATGAAATTGGTTTACTGGGAATTGAGTTAGTGCCACATAACTAGAATCTCTACAAAAGCACCATCACCAGGCAATAAAAGAATAATAGCTAACTTTATTGAATGACAATTCTGTGTCACTGTGCTAGGTACTTTTATGTACGTTTTCATTTAATCTTCTCAAGGACCCCATAAGGTAGATATTTTTATTCTTATTTTATAGATGAGGAAAATGAGGCTTACAGAAATTAGGTAGCTTGCTCAGGATCATTCTCAGTAGTGGCAAATAATGTTTATATTTTACCTCCTACTAGATTATAAACTCCTTGAGGGCAAGACCCATCTCTTATCTTTCTGTTCTTGATGCTTAGCACAGAGCCTGGAACATAATAGGTGCTCAGTAAATTGTTTCTGAACTACTCAACAAATTTTGCCATATTTAATAAACATAAAACCACGACAACGAACATTTTATATCACAAGTGGATCATTACCGCCTGTTTCTAATACTTCATGTTACTGCTAGTTCTCCTCATTCTCCTAATTTTAAACTGACCTTTGAGTTCAGGGTATACCTAATTAACAAATAATATCTAATCTCATGCCCTAGATGTAAGGATATTTTATGAAAGACATGAGGGTATTGTGAAAGCTTTAGTGAATTCCCATTGCTTATATGATAAAATAGAAATTCCTTCATATGAGATAGTCAAACCTGTTATAATTTGGCGCATTCTACTTTGCCAGCGCTATTTCCTGCCAGTTCTCCGGCTGTTCTCAGTCTCTAGCTGAACCAGGTCACTTGGTTTTTCCCAAGTGTACTATACTGTACTTGCTTCTGTGTTTTTACTTATGCTGTTAGCTCTCCCTGGAATATCCTTCTGCCTTTCTTTTGTTTGGTGAATATCTACTTCCCATCAAGTCCCAACCCAAATATCATTGCTTCTCTTAACACCTTTATAAAACTTTCTGGGCATAATTATTTTTTCTCATGAGCTTCATTGCCCTGTCTGTATACCTCTATTATAACACATCACGCTGTGTCATGCTTAGTTGTTTATAAGTCTTCTCTGATGATGATGATCCTTGAGCAGAGATTATGTCTCATTTTCTATCTTTAGCAGAGTATCAGAACGTGGTATATGTCCAATGAAACTTTGCTGTTACTGAGTAGTAGAATTAGGATGAGCAGTCTTAAGCCCATAAAGATGATCTAGAGCTGATTTCTTTGTCTTTAGAACTTGGAGAACCATTAAAAACCTTGTGATTTCCTGAAAGTAGTAAAGAACTGTACTAGCATATTGAGGAATTGACAGCACTACAGTTTCCTGGCATTGAGGCTCTAAAGAGCAGCTCTTAACTTTCCCCAGAGAATCAAAGCTTCCCAGTCTTGCTCTTACTTAACTCCATGCCTAACCTGGCATTCTTTTATCCACTCATTAAGCATTCTTCTGAAGAAATTTCTTTCACTTAATAAATATGTATTCAGTAGCCTATTATGTGCAAGACACTGCTTTAGCTGCTAGTGATACAGCAGTGAATAAGACAGATAAGTTCCTTGCCCCCATGGATCTTGCATTACATATTATAAGTTCTCAGTTATGTTGAGTAGGCAAATGTTATTTCTGGATGTCAGCTTCATCACTTAAAACTCTTTGAAACAGCCAAGAATAGCCTTCTAAGTTTGGCTCAGATATTTCAGATGCTAACTTCTTGTACTAGGTTTTGCTTGTTTAGTGAAGAAAGAGAATTATGTGTTTGTTGACCAGTCATTAGAGATACCCTATTACATATTTCTAAGAAGGTTGAATTAAGAAGCTATTCTCAAGTGTTTCCTCACAAATTATAAGAATTAGAAGTGGTGAGAATCTGTGATAAGTAGTATAGGATTAGGGATAGCTCGTGCCACGTGAGCCTTCAGACCTGTATCTATAACTTTCTTCTAGTTGTTTCCAGTTAGATATCCACAGATGCCTCTGAGTCAACATGTCCATACAGAATTTATCATTTCCCCGAACTTTGTTTTTCCTTCAGCATTCTCCATCTTGTGAATGACAGCAGCATATACCCAATTATCCAAGATAGAAAACTAGAAGTCATTCTTGACTCTGCCTTCTTCCTCAATATCCCATATGAGGAGTTGCGAATGAGTTGGGGCTGAACCGAATCCTAGTAATGGTGCCTCCTTACTATCTTTTGAATTCATTTCTTCTCTCCGTCTTTCACTTCCAGTTTCCTACTTCAGGCCCTTATCATTTCTTGCCTTAACTATTGCCCCAATCTCTTAGTTGGTTTATTTGCTTTTGGTAATGCCTTTTTACTATCACTTTTCTATACCACAACCTTCTTGCTGAAATACAAATCTGATTATGTCACTCCCCAGCTTAATATCCTTTAGTAGTTCCTCATTATTTTCAGTATAAAATGTAAACACCATGTACTTGCCTTTCATGATCTGATCCTTGTTCATTTCTCCTGCTCCATCCTCTTCACCTTGCCTCCATATTCCCTCCCAAACTTCATGCCCTAACTTGAATAACTATTTGACTTCAAGAGGCTTTGCATATGCTGATCCTTGTGCCAGAATTCTCTATCTCCTACTTCCTCTTATTTGCCTAACCTCAGAGAAGCTCCCTCTGATAACTGGGTTTGATGCACATCCTGTGTGCTCCCACAGCAACCTGCATAACATTTCTATCATGGCATTTATCATATTGTATTAGAATGGTGTGTTTGTTTGCCATGGATTCAGACTGAGTTCCTTGAGGGTAAGAGACTCATTCCATGTCTCTAGTGCCTAGCACAGGATCTGACACAAATAAAGTGTTTTTTGAAAGTTAGTGACGGTCAAAGTTAACTTTAGAAGCAAAGGTGCAAACACTAGTATGCAGATCTAAGTTACAAGGGCTTTATTTGTAAACGTTTGAATTGCTTGTTAATTTCCACACCAGTTGAAGTTTGCTTCTAGATACTCCCTTGTGGTGTCTTTTGTTGCTGCTATTTTCTCCAGAGCAATTCCTGAAACCATCTGATTATATTGTTAGAGGAGCCAAAGGGGGATAAAAATAAGTGTCTTCTTTGCAGTGATCAAAAAGGAAATGAGTTTTGAAGAATGGAGTTAATTTATTTCAGATTTTGTACATTTATTTAAGAACTCCATTAGCCTTCATTAAGTGTAGTTGCATAATATCGTCACCACAAAAGTTGGCTGAATTGCAATTCATTTAATTTTGCTTTTGAGGAACTAGTATTTTATAATTTTCCAGGAAACAAAAAAGGTATTCTAGTTTAACTTCCAACTGGTCTGACACCAGCTGGGTATACTGCAATTCAGTTCTGGCACTAACCACCTGTAATGCACATCCCCAAATTTAGGACTTAATCCTCCATAAGACTGCCTTCACTTCAGATGCTAGCTGCAAGTAGGGTCCTCAGGTCACCTGCACTTCTGACCAACTGGCTATAAATTCAGAAGTTCCCATGACTCTTTCAGGTTTGCTAATTTACTAGAATGCCTCACAGAACTCGGGAAAGTGCTGTATTTATGATTACAGTATTATTATAAAGGATAACAATTCAGGAACAGCCAAATGAAGAAGGCGTAGGGTGTGGTCTGGGAGGGTTCCTAATTCAGAGCTTCCCTGCCCTTTCCCTGTGGAATCAGAGCACATCACCCTCCTGGCATAGGAAGGTGCTCACCAACCAGGAAACTGCACCAAGCTTCAGTGTCCATAGTTTTTATTGGGGCTTCATCATGCAGGCATACTTGATTAAATCATTGGCCACGTGATTGAACTCAATCTCCAGCCCCCTCCCTTCTTCTCCCTAGGGGTGAAACTGGCTCAAAAGTCCCAACCATCTATTCAAGTGGTCTGTCTTTCTGGTGACCAGCCTCCTATCTCCCCTCCCTGCCCCACTCCCCCCAACAAGGGGCCCACCATGAGTCACCTTGTTAGCATAACAAAGACACTCTTATCACTCAGGAAATTCCAAGGGTTTTAGACGCTCCGTGCCAGGAACCCAGAACAAAGATCAGACAAATTTTTTATTATACAACATATGGTATTTTGGAGTTAGGATTTTTAAAAAATTCAATTCAAACAACTTATTTGTTAAAGATTGAAACTGTTCATAAAAGTCTTTTGGTTGTGAAAAAAGTATTTACATATTATTCTCTCTTTAACTTCTGGACCAGAAAATCTTCAACAAAAATTGTAATTGCTACCTCACATTCTGTAACTACTTATTTTGTATTTAGGTATTCCCAGTTCCAAGAGGAATACAGTTTAGATGAAGTGATGACATCTCGAAAAGTTGTTGATTTTTTGACTATCTTACAGTGTTGGTAAGAAAAGCATATTTTAATATCTACTAGAAAGAAGTAACTGCTGCCTTCTCCCTAAACCCCTTTGGGTAAACTGTAGGCTCTGTATCTGGGTATATCCTGTATCTGCTTTTATAGAACTCCTACCAGTGTAGTCCTCACTCTGGAGTGAGTACCCTTATTTCCTATTCCTGCTTAGAGACAGACTGTCTTTTCTCTTGGAAAATTATATATTTTATTTCCTTCTCTCATGACTTCTACCTGTTTTGTTTTAATTGTGTTTGTTCATTTAAATGTGGCTTAGGAGGCCCGTGGAGTCCAAAGCTTTTTCCCTTAAGCATTTTGTTTTCTCTGCTGTATACTTCTGCTGTAGGAAATTTTACTTATAGTAGCTAAGAGTAACTGTAAAAGAAGAAAAAAATTATAGCTCTATTAATGATAATAGTTGCATCTTGAAAATTGCTTGACAATATCTGTCCTCCAAAAGATTGAGTAGTATTGCATAGCCACTGCCTGTGCCTCGTTACCACCTGGCTGTGCCCTGGAGATGCTGGCTGGGATGCAAGTGAACAGTGGTGTCAGCTTTTATCTGTTGCAGTATGAGAATGTCTGCCCAGTAATAAAGTCCAGCTAAACTCACAGAAGGCTTCTTGTATTTGCCATCTTCCTTCACAGCTTGCTCTAAGGAAAAGATCTATTTTGAGGCGATCTTAAGAGTCTTAACCAAACCAGGGACTTGCTGGTATCTCCTATTCCATCCTTTCTCAGTTTCCAAAAGGATCCCAAGACTGATTATTTGGGAGATAGCAAAGTTGGAGCCAGTTAGGCCTATAGCAGAATCTTTATTGTACTAGGATAGAATAACCTTCTGGACTCTTAGAAGTTACCGGGAGATTTTATGCATCTGTGTTTATGCAGAGGCAAATCTGGGATTCTTTACAATAAGAACTTTTTTTGAGAGACTCTTAAAGACCAAGCAGTGACTGACAGCACTTAAGTTCTTGATAGAGGATCAGTCCTCAGGTGGGAATCATATATAATTTTTAACTGTAGATTTCCCAGAGAAGACAGTCCAGTGACCAGCAAGCATACTCAGCCTTTCTTCCCACGTAGAAAGAACTCCTAGTCTGAAGTCCTAGGATTGAGGTGGAGCGGGTGTAAATAATTATTTTTACCTCCTCTTAGTCCCACTTCAGATGGTGCTGCAGCGGCAGTTTTGGCTAGTGAAGCATTTGTATGGAAGTATGGCCTGAAATCCAAAGCTGTGGAAATATTGGCACAGGAGATGGTGACTGATTTGCCAAGCTCATTTGAAGAAAAAAGCGTTATTAAAATGGTGTGTCTGAGATTCTGTTTTATTAATCAATTTTGAGGGGTTTCTGTTTAAAAATTTCAAGGTGACATGTTGTCATCAGCTCTGGAAGTTATTTACTTTAAAAATATCAGTCTAGGAAATTTAATATTATAACGTCCTTAAGAATCTGTTAAGGGAAAATAACTGATGAGAACATAACGCTTCTTTTTGTGTGTGTGTGTGAGGAAGATCAGCCTTGAGCTAACATCCGATGCCAATCCTCCTCTTTTTTTGCTGAGGAAGATCGGCCCTGGGCTAACATCTGTGCCCATCTTCCTCTCCTTTATATGGGACGCCGCCACAGCATGGCTTGAACAGTGGTGCATTGGTGTGTGCTCAGGATCCGAACCTGCGAACCCCGGGCCAAAGTGGAGCGCGTGCACTTACCCGTTGCACCACCGGGCCAGCCCCTAATGCTTCTTATCGTAGAGCCATGCATGCACTTTTAACTAACTAGACATGCTATTTTTTTTGTTTGTTTTTGAATTGACTAAATGTGCCCAGAACTTCAGTCTTATAGAGTTAAGGGAAAAACAAGGATGTTGTCAGGAAACTTTCTTGACCCTTAGCACTTTAAAAATCCTAATTGAAGGTTGACTACAAAATGGAGGAAGTTAAAAATATGAGAATTCAGACCTAGAGTTAGTTGCATATTTGAAGATAATACATATATATAAAAATATGTATATATACATATACACACATATAAACAAGCATATGGTAAATTACAGTTTACAAAATTATTTTACAACAATGCTTTGAATTTGAAATATATAACTTGCCAAAGATCACAAGCTAGGGTATGGCAGAAGTGGAAATTATACTCAGGTTTTCTGATTACAGTACATTTTGCATTACACCACAATTTTATTCCTGGGAGAAAAGTTGAGTTTGCATGTTATTATCTGAGACCAAAGGGGTGTTAAGAGCATGGATTTTGGAAAAATGGTTTGAATCCTATATGATCTTCTAAAAGAAAATTGTTTATTTTCATATAGAAATTCCCCCATATTTTTCAGTGTATCTGAATCATAATGATCTGTTGATAAATCTCTTCAACCTGTCTATCACAACTAAACATTGTGGTTTGATAGAGTTTTTGTAACTTAGCATAAGATATGGCCTTAGGAATTGCAAGTCCTTTTTATGTATCTTTTTAAAATTCTGTCCTTCGTAGTACAAAATTTAATATGTACATTCTCCTGCCTGGATATTTTTTATTTGAACTTTCTGTGTAGTACAGAATCAACTGAGATTTCAGTATACGTGGTCAGTTCTCAGCTGTTAAGGTTATACATATTAATCTCTTATAATCCTTGTATGAAAGACCCAGTTTTGATGCCGTTTATTTATTTATATATGGTTTTGGTTTTAGGTTGGCTTTGATATGAGTAGAGAAGCTGCCAGAAAGTGCTATGAGAAATCTGGCCTGAGACCAAGTGATATTGATGTAATAGAACTTCACGATTGCTTTTCTGTCAATGAACTCCTTACTTATGAAGCACTGGGACTCTGTCCAGAAGGTAATATTTTTGATGAGATGCAGATTAACTTATTAAATTTCACTGAGAAAATTTCATTTTCACCATTAAACAAAAGAATTCACTAATTGCCTTTCTCTCTGTGTTGGCTCTGCCAGGCTGTGTGCAAAGTGAATATAAGCTATCTCAATACTAGACATTTTAGAATGTGTAGTCTTGGACAGTACCAACACTGAGATAACAGAGTATACAAATAATTCATATTATGGAAATCAGGGGCACTTATAATGTACTGTTAAGTGAAAAAAAAGGGATAAAAAATTATGTATGTAATTCTAGCTATTTTAAATTGTGTTTGAATAAAGACTTGCAGAAAGGAAAATGGAAAAACTAGTTGGTGGGATCAGGAGGATTTTTTTTTCCTTTTCATTTCTGAAGTACCATTTGCCATTACTACCAGCAGTGTACGAGATTTTAGTTGCTTCACATCATCGCCAACATTTGATATGATCAGTTTTTAAAATTTTAGCCATTCAAAAGAGTGTATAGTGATGTCTTAGTTTTCCTTTGTATACCCCTGATGAGTAAGGATGTAGAGCATCTTTTCATGTGCTTATTGGGCATTCACATATCTTCTTTTGTGAAGTATCTGTTCAGGTCTTTTGCCCTTTGATTATTGGGTTACTTTTCTTCTTTATTGTTGTAAAAAGTTTTTATATATATATTCTGGATACTTTGTAACTTCTCCTACATGTGTATGCTGTGAACATTTTCTCCCAGTCTGTGGCTTGCCTTTTTGTTTTATTAATAGTGTCTTTTGAAAAACAAAAATTTTAAAATTTTGATGAAGTACAAATTATCAATTTTTTTATGGTTCATGCTTTTTGTGTTCTAAGAAACTTCTGCCTACCCTAAGGTCATAAAGATTTTCTTCCATTTTTATTCTAGGAGTTTATAGTTTTAGATTTTACATATAAGTATGTGATCCATTTTGAGTCAGTTTTTGTGTATGGTGTATGATGAAGGTCGATAATAATCTTTTTTTCCTATACACATATCCAGCACCATTTGTTGAAAAGACTTTTCTTTCTCCATTGAACTGCCTTGGCACCTTTCTCAAAAATCAGTTGCCCATATATGTGAGGGTCCATTGTTGCACTCTGTTCTTTTCCATTGATCTGCATGTTTATCTGTTCACTAATACCAAATTATCTTGGCTACTGTACTTATTATGCTATATTGTACTATACTATAGTGTATAGAAAGTCTTGAAATCAGCTAGGATAAGTTCTCTAACTTTGTTCTTTTTAAAAATCATTTTGGTTATTTTAGGTTTTTTGCATCTTCATGTACATATTAAAATTAGTTTGTCAATTAAAAATAAGCACATGCTGGAATTTTCATTGGGATTTCATTGAATCTGTAGATCCATGTAGAGAGAATTGTCATCTTAATGTTCAATCTTCCAATTCATTAGATGGTGCATGTTTCCATTTATTTAGCGCTCCTTTAACTTCTATCAGAATGTTTGTAGTTTTCAGTATAGGTCTTAGATGTCTTTTGTTAGGTTTATTCCTAGATATTTTGTGGTTTTTGGCATAAATTTTTTTTACCTTCATTTTCCAATTGTTTGCTGATAGTGTATAAGAATACAGTTGATTAAAAAAAATTGTATCCTGTGACTTTGCTAAATTCATTTATTAATTCTAGTAGTAGTTTTGCAGATAATGAGGGATTTTCTGTATAAACAGTCGTATCATCTGCCAATTACAGTTTTACTTCTTGCTTTCTGATTTTTTGCTTTTTATTTATTTTTTGCCTTATTGCAATGACTGTGAGCTCTAGTACCATATTGAATAGAAGTGATGAAAGTGGGCATGATTATCTTCCTGATCTCAGGGGATGCAGTTTAATCCCCTAATTAAATTAAACTTTAATTAAGTATTATGTTAGCTGTAGGTTTTTTGTTGATGCCATTTATCATGTTGAGAAAGTTCCCTAGTATTACTAGTTTGCTGAGAGTTTTTTTTTTTTATTATGAAGGGGTGTTGAATTTTTTAAAATTCTTCTGCATCTATTAAAATGATCATATGGATTTTTTCCTTTATTCTGTTGACATGGTGAATTACATTGATTGATTTTGAATGTTAAACCAACCTTGTATTTCTGAGATTAACCCTACTTGGTCATGGTATATTATCCTTTTAATATATTGTTAGAGTCAATTTGCTAGCATTTTGTTAATGATTTTTGCTTATATATTCATGAAGGATATTTGTCTGTAGTTTTCTTCTTTTCCTGGTTTTGGCATTGGAGTTATACTGGTCTCATAAAACAAATTGGGCAGTGGTCATTCATTCTCTATTTTCTGAAAAAGTTTGTGTAAGATTAGTGTTAGTTCTTCCTTGACTGTATCATAAAATGTACCAGTGTAACCAAGTGGCTTTAAGTTTTCTTTTGGGGAAAGTTTTTGAGAAATTAAAATTTATTAATAGATAAAGGACTGTTTAGATTTTCTATTTCTTCCTGTGTCTATCAATTTTGATAAGTTATCTTTGTCAAGGAACTTGTCCATTTCATTTGTCAAATTTGTTGGATGAAGTTATTCAAAGTACACCTTTGTGCAGTGGCTTCTCTTAAGTTTTAATTTCCTCCATAATCTCCCTGCTTTTGTTTACTTTTTAGAGTCCTCAGGTAGTTGTGTTTTTGTATTTTATCCAGTGTTTTCAGTTGTAATCAGTGAGAAAGAGGGGCTGTATTGAATATATGCTGCCTTAGCAGAACTGGAACCCATTTTCAGGGTTTTAAATGTCATGTATGTGGTGATTAACTTCAAATTTATATCCCTAGGTTAAACTGCTTCTCTGATCTCTAGGTTCATATATCCAGCTGCCCTACTTTCCAGTTTGTTTGTTTGTTTTTTTTGGATGTCTCATTAGCATCTCCACACTAGGTCCAAATTAAATTCCTGATCTTTCCCAAACTTCCTCCTTCCTCAGTCTCCCCCATCCTCCAGTTACTGAAACTGGAAGCTGTAGAATTATTCTTGATTCCTCTCTTTCTCTCACAGGCCCCATTGAATCCATCTCTAAATCCTATTGGCTATGGACTCTCCCTTCAAAATATATCCAGAATATGACCACATCTTACTTTTTATCACTACCAGCCTAGTCCAGACCACCATCCTTCTCATTTACATTATTGTAGAAGTCTCATAACTGGTCCCCTTGTTTCTGCCTTGTCTCCTTACAGCCTGTTCTCTATGCTGAAGCTTTAATGATCTTGTTAAAAGCAAACAGCAGATCAGTGTTATTCCTCTCTTCATCTCATTCAAATTAAAAGCCAAATGTGATCTGTCCTCTTTACTCCCCACTCCCATCCTTCTGACTTCTCCTACTTCCTTCTGACTCTTACTTTGCTGCAGCTGCGCTGGCCTCCTTCAAACACTCTAGGCTTGCTCCTAGCTCGGGGCCTTTGTTCCAAATATCTGTATGATTCGCTCCCTCAGTCCCCTTAGGTCTTTGACCAAGTGTCACCTTCTCAGTGGAACCCTTCTCCGATTACTTTGTTTAAAATGTAAACTTCTGGGGCCGGCCCAGTGGTGTAGTGGTTAAGTTCCTGTGCTCTGCTTTGGCGGCCCGGGGTTCACAGGTTCGGATCCCGGGCACAGAGCGACGCACTGCTTGTCAACCTATGCTGTGGCAGTGTCCCATATAAAGTAGAGGAAGATGGGCACAGATGTTAGCCCAGGGCCAGTCTTCCTCAGCAAAAAGAGGAGGATTGGCATCAGATGTTAGCTCAGGGCTAATCTTCCTCAAAATAAATAAATAAATAATAAAAAAAATAAAATGTAAACTTCTCACCTCTGTCGTCCTTGTCCCAACACTTCCTATACCCCTTTTCCTGCCTTCTTTTTCCATGATACTTATCACCACTCATCACATATTATATATTTTACTTATCTTACATATTGTCTGTCTCTTCCTCATGCATCTCCCCATGATAAATTAAACTCTATGAGAACAGGGATATTTGTCTGTTTCATTCACTGTGGTGTCCTCAATTTTCCAGGGCAGTTTTGGGCGTATAATAGGCATCATAATTGCTTTCTAAAAGTGTTCACATTTATTTTTCTATCTGTGGTATTTGAGAGTGGTTGTTTACAGTACTTTCATCTCTGGATCATTTATAGTTGATGAGTTTAAGATAACTTCCTTGTGGAATCTTTTGATATTTCATAGGATTGTATATATTATGGAAAAACCATGCAGTAAATTATTTACTTCTTGGGGTTGGTTTGTGTTCAGTCTGCTGTTATTGGGTACAGTAACAATTTTAACAGTTTTGAAAGCAGTAATAGCAGGTAGAATACCTGTTAGGATGAGAGGCTTGTATCAGGTGCTGTGCCAGAAACATACCAAAAAATAAAACAATGCCTCAATGGAAGTTTTTTTTTCTTTGTTACTTTTTTGTTTTATTGAAGTCATATTAGTTTTTATTTATTTATTTTTTGTGAGGAAGATCGGCCCTGAGCTAACATCTGCCAATCCTCCTCTTTTTGCTGAGGAAGACTGCCCCTTGGCTAACATCCGTGCCCATCTTCCTCCACTTTATATGGGACACCGCCACAGCATGGCTTGCCAAGCGGTGCGTCAGTGCGCACCTGGGATCCGAACCGGCAAACCCCGGGCCGCCTCAGCGGAGCGTGCGCATTTAACCGCTTGTGCCACCGGGCCGGTCCCTTGGCTTTTAACATTGTGTAAATTTCAGGTGTACATTATTATATTTAAGTTTCTGTATAGATTGCATTATTGCTAGTTTTTATCTGTCACCATATACACGTGCCCCTTTACCTCTTTTGCCCTCTGCCACCCCCTTTTCCTCTAGTAATCATTAATCTGTTCTCCTTATCTATGTGGTTGTTTATCTTCCACATATGAGTGAAATCATATGGTATTTGTCTTTCTCTGTCTGGCTTATTTCACTTAGCATAATACTCTCAAGGTCTGTCCATGTTGTCGCAAATAGCATGATTTTGTCTTTTTTTATGGCTGAGTAGTATTCCATTGTGTAGGTATATATATACCACATCTTCTTTATCCATTCATCCATTGATGGGCACTTGGGTTGCTTCCATGTCTTGGCTATTGTGAATAATGCTATGATGAACTTAGGGGTGCATAAATCTCTTTGAATTGGTGATTTCATATCTTTTGGATAAATACTCAGTAGTGGAATAGCTAGATCATATGGTATTTCTATTTTTAATTTTTTGAGAAATCTCCTTACTATTTTCCATACTGGCTGCACCAATTTGCATTCCCACCAGCAGTGTATGAGGGTTCCCTTTTCTCCACATCCTCTCCAACACTTGTTGTTTCTTGTCTTGTTAATAGCCTCAATGGATGGTTTTTAATCTACAACCTAGATTTAAAGTCAAATTAGAAGTGTTAGGGCCGGCCCCGTGGCTTAGCAGTTAAGTGCGCGTGCTCCACTATTGGCGGCCCGGGTTCGGATCCCGGGCGTGCACCCGCGCACCGCTTCTCCGGCCATGCTGAGGCCACGTCCCACATACAGCAACTAGAAGGATGTGCAACTGTGACATACAACTGTCTACTGGGACTTTGGGGAAAAAAAGGAGGAGGATTGGCAATGGATGTTAGCTCAGAGCTGGTCTTCCTCAGCAAGGAGAGGAGGATTAGCATGGATGTTAGCTCAGGGCTGATCTTCCTCACCAAAAAAAAAAAAAAGGGTTAATCGATAAAATTCTATGATTAGTGTGTTTCATTTTACCAAAAGAGACACTCTTCAGCTTTTAAAGGCAATAAAATGTATGAGTATTAATTCTAGATCCCCTGCTGTTACCTTGGGCTGGTTACTTAATATCTATGTGTCTATTTCCTCATCTGTAAAATGAGAGTGATAGTACCTACTTCATAGGGTTGAGGATTAAATTATGTAAATATATGTAAAATAATTAGAACAAGGCCTGGCACAGAGTCAGTGCTTAAAAGCTATTAGCCACCTCTGATGGCATCACCACCACCGTTATCATCATTGTTTGGAGATTCTACCTCTCATTATCAGATAAACCATCTGAAAGAATATTTTATATAATGCATGCATTTTTATTTACTTCTTAACCACTTGGAAGAATGACCAGGGAATTGAGAGGAATGTTGAAGCTGCCAAGCATGTGCTGCACATTTTTTTCTTTTAAGCTTACATTTATGGCTCAACAGTATTTTAAACCACTTCCCTTCATTTCATGAAAGTGCTTTTTTTTTTGCTGTCCTTCTCCCATCCTCCCCCCTGTTTATTAAGAATATTGATATAGGGCCAGCCTGGTTGCGTAGTGGTTAAGTTCGCACGCTCCACTTCAGCGGCCCATGCTTTGCAAGTTCAGATCCTGGGCGCGGACCTACGGACCACTCACCAAGCCATGTTGTAGCAGCATCCCACATACAAAATAGAGGAAGATAGGCATGGATGTCAGCAAAAAGAAGAAGATTGGCAGTGCATGTTAGCTCAGGGCCAATCTTCCTCACCAAAAAAAAAAAAAAAAAAGAATATTGATATAGTATATAACAGTATAGTTGAAAATGGAAATGAATACATTTTGGCAAAATTACAAATTTTTAAAGCTGATATAATTATTATAGCTATTGTATACATTTCAGTTCTTTTTTTCTGGTTCTCTGAATCTCTATTATATTTATAGCAATTTTGGAAGCCAGAGAGCTCTTAGGAATTAATAGGATCTTTGTTTCATGCAGGAAATGTTCTGAAAGTATAAGCCTTTGTTAGTCAATATTTATTACCTAACTTTTAGAAGTGCTTGTATCAATTTGATGTTAGTTTGAGCTGTTAAGAAATGTTTGCTCCAAGAAATTCTTGGCTATTTGGAAGTTAAAAAAATTATTTGTTCCAATGTTATTTTTAACATTTGTGAATATCATTTTTCCTTCTGTAGGACAAGGTGGAAAACTGGTTGACAGAGGAGATAATACTTATGGAGGAAAGTGGGTCATAAATCCTAGTGGTGGATTGATTTCCAAGGGACACCCACTAGGAGCTACAGGTAATATTAAATACAAATTTCATACATTTTTTGTTACATAAAAAGTGTGAATGAGGAGCTGGCCTGTGGCAAAGTGGTTAAGTTCACATGCTCCACTTTGATGGCCCAGGGTTCGCAGGTTCGGAACCCAGGTGTGAACTGACGTACCACTTGTCAAGCCATGCTGTGGCAGGCGTCCCATATAAAGTAGAGGAGGATGGGCATGGATGTTAGCCCAGGGCCAATCTTCCTCAGCAAAAAGAGGATGATTGGCATCAGATGTTAGCTCAGGGCTGATCTTCCTTACACACACACAAAAAAGTGTGAATGATATAGTCATTGATTTGAATGAAAGATTGTATTCTCTGAACTTGGTAGCCACTGCCTTAAATGATTGTTTAGCCATGGTATTTTTGATTTTCCTTTAAGTATAGTAATAACCTTGATTAATTGATGAGAATTTGAATTAGTTGAAACTCTAAATTCAACAGTATATATTTTTAAAAGTTTGATTATTTTCAGATAGGTATACAACTCAGCTAACAAGATGTTTCCAAATAGAGATTTTGCTAGACCTGCTAGAAAAGCATCATTTGAAATGAGCACATTATTTGTATATGGTTGTATATGTGGTTGGTGTTGCATGGAAATTTTCTTCTCTTAAGAGAACTGGAGTAGAAGTTATGAAATACAAATTTTACTCTACTGCTGACTGGCCATGTGACTATTTTAATTAATTGTCAATTAGTCAATTGATCACTTTGACTCAAAGTTTCCTTAATTGTAAAATGAAGAAATCGTACAAAGCAGTTTCTAAAATAACTTAGCACTAAAATTCTGGGATTTATTTTTATGAAGATAGGTGAGTTTTGTATTTTTTCCATATTGTCTTATATATTAATTTGGTAAAATTTTATAAATTTTAAATTTATATTTAAATTAAATATATATAAAATTTAAATTTTAAATTTATAAAATTTATAAATTCTCACAAATTCCAAAATAGAGAAGTTAGAATTAACAGTGTATTCATTACAGCAATTAACTGATTTATTTCCATTTATCACTCAAATTGTAAGCTTATAATCTAGTAGAGAAAATGGATGTACATAGATAGACAGAGAGTAAGAGAGAGATAGGTAGATAGATATGCACACAGATAATTGCAGTTTAAGGTGCCACCTTGCTATTTGTTTTCTGTCTTGTCTGTTCTTTGGTTCTTTTCTTCATGCTATCATTTTATTAATTGGGTTTTTTTTAGTATTTTATTTTCTCTCTTCTATTGAATTGTTTCTTTTTCTTATTTTTTAGTGTTTGCTCTAGGATTTACAACGTGCATCTTTAATTTACCACAGTTTACCTTCAAATAGTGTTATATCATTTCACATATAATGTAAGGGATTTTTACAACAGCATATTTCCGTGTACCTTCTTTTGTCCTTTGTGATATTACTGTCATATGTGTACTTCTAAATGTATTATAAACCCCACAATATACTATTATTATTATTGCTTTAAACAAATCTAATATCTTTCAAAGAAATCTAGAAATGAGGGGAATGAGAGTGATGTCACTGGGAGTGGCAGAATAACAGCATCTGAAAATATTCTTCTTTATAAAAGTACCAAGAACACTTGCAAAAATTGTCAAGATCCACTTTTTTCAGAGCTTTGGAAATTCACAAAAGGTTTACAACAATTGGGGGAACAGTTATTTAAAAACGAACAAGCAGCTGAGTCTCTGCAAGTACAGCAAGCTTTGTGGCATTTGACTTCCTCTAATACCACCTCATTCTCCCTAGCTCCGTAGTAGTCTTTAAAACCAACAGCCTGCAACCATGGTGAAAACTAGCAGCCTAGCTGGCACTGGAGGACTCAAAATGGAGTTGGAGCTCTTTCAAAGTCCCATTGTCAGAGAATAGTTGTTAGGACCTGTCTGGCAGTTCCCTGGTAAACTTGACTTGAAAGCTTGTCTTGATGTAACCTAACTGAGAACTTTCTCAGTGCAAACAGGATTTTCCTCAGAGTCATTTGTCAAGAACAGTCAGCAACAACTGTTGCCAAAACACTTAAAAGGAAGAGCTGGGGAATGAGATGTTCATAGAGAACTTTGAAAAAATCTGACATATTCCTGGAAATCTAGAATACCAAGTACGTACATAAGGCTGTGCATGTGCCCAAGGCTGTGTGCATACTCAAGAAAGATCTGAGAAGTTCCTAAGCTCTTACTCTGCCTGATCTTGGGGGCTCTGCACAAGCAGAAAGTAAAGGCTAAGGTGGAGTTGTAAACTGCCTGGCTAAGTGCCCCAGCACACACACAGAACCTCAGCGAAGACTGGGAGATTTGTTAGTTCCAGGCATTTAAGGAAATCTCTGTCTAGTCATTAGCTAACCACTAAGCTAACCAAGAAGAAAATTCAGTGGCCAATTGTGACAAAGAATGAGTTTGGAAAAGTTACTAGATCAAAAACAACAACAAACAACTCTGGGAAAGGGGGTGAAACTGATTTCTAGAGTTGCCACATTATGTCAGTTAAAATGTCTAGTTTTCAACAAAAAGCTGTGAGACACACAAGGAGACGAGAGTATGGCCCACACAGGAAAAAAAAGCAGTCAATAGAAACTGAAGAAGCTCAAACAATTGATTTGCTAAAGACTTTAAATCAGGTATTTAAGTATGTTCAAAGAACTGAAGGAAGCTATATATAAAGAACTAAGGGAAAGTATAACAATGTTTCACCAAATAGAGAATATCAATTACTAGATAGAAATTAGAGAAAAGAAGCAAATAAATTCTGGAGTTGAGAAGTATAGTAACTGAAATGAACAATTCTCTAGAGGGGCTTGACACCAGATTTGAGCAGGCAGAAGAAAAAATCAGTGAACTTTAAGACTTTAAGATAGGTGAATTGAGATTATCCAGTCTGAGGAACAGGGAAAAAAAAAAAGAATGAGGAAAAATGAAGAGAGCCTCAGAGACCTGTGGGACACCAGCAACAGTAGCAACATATACATAATGATGGTCCCAGAAGGAGGGGAGAGAAAGGGGCGTATTTGAAGAAATAATGGCTGATAACTCCTTAAACTTGAGGGAAAAAACATTAAGATAACATAGGCAAGAAGTACAACAAACTTTAAGGACAGATACCTCAAAGAGATCTACACCTAGACACATCATATTCAAACTGTTGGAAGCAAAAGACAAAAAGAATATTGAGAGCAACAACAAAGAAGCGACTCATCATGTACAAGAGATCGTCAATAAGACTCACCAACTGATTTCTCTTCAGAAGCCATTGAGGTAGTGTGATGAAAGAAACTGCCAACCAAGAATTCTGTATTCAGCAAAACTGTCCTTAAAAAATGAAGGAGAAATTAAGATATTCCCAGATAAACAAAAACTGAGAATTTATCACTAGCAGACCTCCCCTACAAGAAATACTTTATAAAGAGAGTCACTCAGACTGAAATGAAAGAGCACTAGACAGTGAAATAAAGAGCACATGAAGAAATTAATAGCACTGGTAAATATAACTACATTGGTAAATATAAAAGACAATATAAGTGTATTTTTTGTTACTTTTCCCCCTCCTATCTGATTTAAAATACAACTGCATAAAGTAATAGCCTGAGTTGATAGGCATACAATGTATAAAGATATAATTTGTATGACAATAATAACACAAAGGAGGAAGAGGGAATAGAGCTATATAGGAGCAAATTTTTTGTATACTATTGAAATTGTTGGTATTAATCCGAACTAGATTGCTATAAATTAAGGTGTTAATTGTAATTCCTAGAGCAACCACTAAGAAAATAACTAAAAAATATGTAGTAAAAGAAATGACAAAGAATTAAAATGGTCTACTAGAAAATACCTATTTAACACAAAAGAATGAAATACGTAATGGAGAGATAGAGGGATAAAAAAGACAGAAGTTCAAGAGAATGAGAAGACAGGCCACAGACTGGGAGAAGATATTTGCAAAAGACACATCTACTGAAGGACTATTATCTAAAATATACAAAGAACTCCTAAAAGTAGACAAGAAAAAAATGAACAATCTGCTTAAAAAATGGGCAAAAGACCCAAACAGACACCTCACTAAAGAAGATATACAGATGGCAAATAAGCATATGGAAAGATCCTCAACATTATATGTCATTAGGAAATTATAAGTTAAAACAATAGTGAGATACCACTACCTACCTATTAGAATGTCCAAAATCCAAAACGGTTGGATTGGACCAACCAAATGACAAATGTTGTCAGTTTCTTACAAAATGAAACATCCTCCTACCATACAATCCGGCACTTGTGCTTCTTGGCATTTACCAAAATGAGTTGAAGACTTATATCCACACAAAAACCTGCACATGGATGTTTATAGCAGCTTTACTTAAAATTGCCAAAATTAAGAGGCAACCAAAATGTCTTTCAGTAGGTGAATGGATAAATAAACAGTGGTACATGCAGACAATGGAATATTATTCAGTGCTTAAAAAAAAATTAGCTATCAAGTGATGCAAAGACATGGAGGAACCTTAAATTCACATTGCTCAGTGAAAGAAGCCGATCTGAAAAGGCTACATACTGTATGATTCCAACATATGACATTCTGGAAAAGGCAAAACTGTGGGAACAGTAAAAAGATTAGAGATTAGGGGAGAGGGAGGGATGAATAGGTAGAACACGGAGGATTTTTCTGTATCATACTATAATGGTGGCTGCATGCCATAGACATTTGTCAAAAGTATACAACACCAAGAGCAAACCCTAACGTAAACTATGAACTTTGGGTAATAATGATATGTCAGTGTAGGTTCATCATTTGTAACAAATGTACCACTCTGGGGCAGGATGTTGATAGTGGGGGAAGCTATGCATATGTGTGGGGCAGGGAGTATATGGGAAATCTCTGTACTTTTCACTATATTTTGCTATGAACCTAAAACTGCTCTAAAAAATAAAGTGTATGTTTAGAAAAAAGTTAATCTCTATTAACATACATTTATGTTAG